CCGTAATAACGATATCCATATCTCGTTAGTACCTCGACCACGGACGATTTAAGATTCAGTCATATGTAATTTGTATTTCACAATCACAACTCCTTGTGATTAACAAATCACCAAGACTTGAATCTACGGATTCTATTATTTAATTTATTAGAATATTTATTCAATTAAATAATAGATATTGCCATACATATGCATTGATTATATATATATTTAAAGTGTTTATGTCCGAAATTGATTGGACTTAGGACATAACACTTACAGAGGTAAGTACCCAACCGTAAGCTTCAGGGCCCCGTGGAATTAGTCGAGGTGCGTGCAAGCTGACCCGAACATTCACGGTTGTCAAAAAAAAAAAGTAGGGACAAGTTTTGGGAGAACAACTGATTTTCCTAGCATCTCAATATTTAATGTTAAATAAAAGATTGATCTAAGAAGCTTCTAGCTTCCCTATAAATAAGAAAGTATTCACTCAGAATTTGTTGGCATGTTATCCATTTTATTGTTCAAATAATACAGGGCTCCGAGCAGTCTACAGTTGAACTATTCAAAAACAATGGGAACAATACCAACAAAGAAAAATCACCCGAGGAATAAGATCTGCTTCGCTTGAAAATGGAGACCATTGGACTATTGTTTCAACATTTATATTCCAGTCACCCACAGAAGATCGAACTGCCTTATGCCATTCTTGTCCTCTTCTTTCATAATCAAGCTTATGATCATTAAGAAAAATCAACAAGCACAAATTAGATAGTAATAATTAAAAACTAGCAAGCAGGAGTACAAAAATCACTGAAAAATATAAAGAACTGAAAAAAACTTGGTGCATGTTTGAATCCCAGTAATTGGAAAAAAATGAGTTTTCAATAGTATTTTTAGGAGAAGGACTGGTTAAAAAGTAGGGACAAGTTTTTGGAGAACATGTAGAATATTTGATTGTGCGAATATGTGGTTGAAAATAATCTCGTAGCAAACCATAAAATAAATTAATGGGAATGAAATAGGCCTTTAGTTTCATAGGTATCGTACAAACACGGACTTCCACCATTTTTAGCCTCTTTGATATTGTGATTTTTTTAGCATAAATTTTGTGAAACGTGACTTTTTAGGAGAATTTATGGTTAAAAAGTATTGAAAAGTTATGGATCCATGTGAAAAATTATTAAATTAAGAATATATGGTTGAAAATGAGTTTAACAAAAAATGGTTTTTAAAAAACCTATATCAAACAGGAGCTAAAACAAGCTGAGCAAACATTATCTGAAAATTAAATATTACATTAATAAAGATGCCCTGAAAATCTACATAATAGCACGTGGTATCGCATAAACAAAAGTAAAAATGGACCCTTAAAAGACATAACATGGTGCTATTTTAAAGCCCAGACTAACTTTTCATAGCTTTGCTCAATGAAAAATTCTCTTCTAAAATAAATGGTGCACTGTGCCTTTCCTTAAGTAACTTCAATTGATATTTTAACCCCGTTGATTTAGAGTAAACCTATATGTCTAATGTTATTTCAAAAACATGCACATAACCCTTAGAAAACGCCTCTAGTTAAGTGCATAACTACGGGAACCACAAACACTTTTCAAGTGTATGACAATAATCCAATGCTTTGCGTGGGCCTAAAATCAAATTTAAAAAATTGATACAAGTTTGGCCAAATTGCGGTAAACAGTTCGTTGAAGATGAAATATATCACCAGGGTCATTGATCCTCTCTATATTTGGATCTCAAAGTAATCTTCTTTACTGCTAAATTACCCCCAAGCATTCAGCTGCATACCACATCAAATAATATTCGACAAAATTTTTAAATAAGAGTAAAGAGTATAAACTTTTTCCCTCCTCCCCCAAAACAATGTGAGAAGACAATGACATCAGCTCCAAGCCTCATGGTACTTGTTTTAAAGCCATTTCCATCTGATACAAAGAGCACCAGATAAATCAATAGGCAAGCTAATAGGTACAATAGAAGGCAGCTATTATTACCAGTTGATCGAAAGAACTGGAGTTACTTACAATGTCCAATAGTATCTATCATATTACTTTTCACCTAGTACCCTAGAGACATGCATTGCCGCATTTTGTCTGGATCCATCCCACCACCATTATCTATGGAATAGTTACAGGAAACAGTTCAAGACCAAAGCAAGTTTATCAACAAAAAGCCCACGGAAAAAATAAAACAAACACAATAAAAGATAAAATTGTAATTAGAGATTAGAAATCGAAAGAGAGAACCTAAGCTAATAAGTAATATTAAATAAGGGGTCAACAGTCGTATCATTAAACACCAATTTTCTATAGCATGCAGTAATACATAGAATTAAGCATGTACACTATCAATGATATGTTTTATGGGACAACAGGACACATAACGTATCTGCTGATCCCGAGCCAACACAGGCCATAGCCAAAGAGCTTCGGCCTAATATTCGAACACCACCAGGGCAAACAGCAGTTAGCCACAGCACATTTGTAGCCTACGCCGAGTTGGCAGGGGACCAGACCATGCTGCCGGGGCTGTGGGTAGATGCAACGCACGTCACCCCCAGAAGGACACAGCGCACACATGGCAGTTCATGATAATACACACCATTCTCATCTGAAGAAAAATCTCCTAGATCCCTGGATGAATGGTTTGCAGCGATGCTTTCCCCGCTTCTATTTAAACCTCATTTACTAATCTATACTAGTGCTTATCGAGATGGAGAAGGTGTTTAGTATCCCTCTTTCTATAAAATGGGCCAGCAACTCAAATCATCTTTTTATTAATCTGAGTAAAAACCCTCTTCATCTTTTATTTCAATAAATGTGAATACCTTCAATCAGCAACATTTTTCTTCCATCTTTCTTGGCTTTATCAATGTTCATGTATATTGCTCCATTGCATACCTGACATTCCAAAAATGAAAAGTAACAATTACTTCAGAAGTCTAAAGAAACCAAGCATGTAACATGTTACTGATCATCGAAGAAGGTCCATAGCATGCCTCGTCCAATGAATTGTCTAAAAGCTCCGCAAACGCTGCAAAAAAATTTTAAGAACGTAAATAAGGAACACAATACATATCAATACTGTTGCTACTCCCTAGAAAATCAAAATATACAGTGATACAATGCATCCCCAGTTTATGAATATGTTCGTCTCCTATACCTCCAAGAACCCACTTATGACTGGTTGCATTAGAATGTAGAAATTTTGGATGAACTCGGACATGATCCATGCCACCTGCATAAGAATTTTATATCAGGAATTACTCTTTATTACCAACTATAAATTTATTAAGTACAAGAAGGTGCAATAAAAGCACAACAGAGATATTTCAACAGCTAATGAAGAAATCGTTTACCATCAACACACTCGGAACATATAGCACATGCTTCTAAAATTATACTTCGATAATATGTTGCACAAAAAACACTGTTTCCGGAAAAAGTAGGACCGAAAACTGCAATTACTTTTAAATCGAAACCTGCAATTATATAAAGCCGAAATGCAATTTCTAATCCAAATTTTCAACTATTTTGGTCAAAATTTCTCCAAATTTCCCTTAATGATATCGAATCTGGGAAAAACTAATAAGATATACGAAAACTTCATTTCGAGTTTCCGAATCTTTCTCTGGAGTTTTCCAAGAGCTTCAGTTTTAAATGACATGAACTTTAGCCATTATGAAAGTTTCTTGTAACATATCTTCTCTCCAGCATTATCATCTAAAAAAGAAGACATGCAATTCAAAAATTTACCAGTGGCCGACTCCCAGTCACCGGAAGGCGCTCCATCATAGTTCCCCGCCTTCCAGAACTGCTTACAACCGCTCACAATCACAGCATTTCTTTGCGGCGGCGCAGGCAACGTCAACACAGGCTCTGAGTCTCTCGATACCGGTTCTTTACCCGGTAAAGGGTCAAGAAACCCCACCGGCAACACAAAACTTAAATCCTCCGCTCCCTTCTTCTTCTTTTTCTTCTTGTTTCCACAAATTTCTCCGCTAGACTCCCGAGGCCTTTTGTTAAAAATTCCGTCAATATCATTGTCGGACAAAGCATCAGAATCGGAATCAGAGTCCGATTCGGAATCCGAGCTTGACAAGTTGATAATGCAAGCCGGCGTCTGAGAATCGTTCGTCTTCGGCATCATCTTGCGACTCAGCTCGATAATTTCCTGTTTAACTTGGATTTCGTTCTCAGTTCTCGCCATTGCTTAGCGAGAAACCAAGGGCCCGTAGAAGAAAAGAGTTATTAAAATAAGTGATCAAAAGGAACCTCTTTTAACTTAGAAACAGTGATTATGGTATAAATATGGAAGATTCACGAGCGGTCGGGTTGCCTGGCTCCTCTCTGGTTTCAGTTTACACATTTCTCTCCAATTTCAACTGAAAACGTTAGTTTGAAGATAAATTTTCTCCAAGGAAAAAAAAAAAATGTAAACCTCGTTAGGCGGTGCGGTTGGGGTTGGCTGAGTCCCCTCCAGTTTAATCTTTTACAATCTTCTCCAATTTCAACTGAAAACATATTATTTGAAAATTCTATTTTTCACACACTTATTTTCAATCACACGTAAATCAAACACTTTATTCTACTTTTTAATCACACATTCTCCCAAAAATCATTATTTAAAATATTGTTTTGATCAAATATAGATGGAAGAGGAGTAAGAGTAAAGCAATTGTTGTTGATCGACCTAAAGTAGAATTTCCCTACAAATAAAAGTAGAATAACATAGTTCGAATAATTAATAGTAAAAAAAAATGGTAAAGTTAAAGTTAGTCGGCAAGAGCCATTCGCTGTCTTGAGTTTTACAGCTAAGTCAATAGAGAATGGGTTAAAAAGAGAGAGAGAGATAGAAATATCATGCCATGGCTTTTTGGTCAATACTTTATTGAATCGTTCTTATGTGTAAAAATTAAGAAAATAGTTTTGATCTCTCTTTTGATAGCATTTATGCTCAATAACATTCTAGGCCATGATGGTTTTAGATATCGCCATGATAAATAGTTTATATAATTCGTATGAGTTCACATTGTGTATAGTTTGTATCAATTTCAGACGAAAAGATACACGATGACAATTTATACACGAATAATGTTATCTATCTCTAATAAAGACATCTAATGATCACTGGTCCATGTAGTAGGTGACGTGCAGTGAAATGATAAAATCGGTTAAGAATAATGTTATTTGTCCCATTGATGATCAACATGTGATGTACGGTGAAATGGCAAAATCAATTAAATGCTTAAATATAACACACACTTTATTGGTTTGTACCGTTTGGTAGTACATCACATGGGACGATTTCACGGAGGACAAATAGTATTACTTCCAATTAAATATATGAACACGCGATCGTCTGTCTTCTTCTTATCATTTAATGTCACGTCCTATGATTATCATATGTAATGAAGATTTACACACTGATTCTTTCGCTACATGTATAGTGCCTCACTAATCAACACATACACGCGTGTAATTGTGGTGTGTGCCAATAAATAAACATTTTGCCATACTGTTCTCAATGCTAGCAATTGACATTTGGGATATTGATTTATGTAGTTCAGTGTGCCATACACGGAGGTCGAGAGCACAAATTACTTACCTCTATCGATTGCTCTATGATCGTTTAATTCTTGAAGTTATAAATCAATTATAGACGTAATAAATCAACGCGAAATGATGCAAATTTAACAATTATGTTATCATTTCCAACTACCGTATATGTTGGGATTTGCTTTTAAAATGCCACTATAAATCAATTTTATAAGATATGAGCAAGTAAAAACAAAATCATACTTGGATTTTCGAACAATATCACTTACAACTTATTTAAATCAAGAAGTAAACAAAGAACGCGGTGTTATGGACTGCACTTTCAATCTTACCAAGGTTAAAGCCTTTTGCTTCACACCAAGTCTTCCCTGAAGTTCTCCTAGAAAATCTTAGCTAAAATGGGTGGTATTTTCCAGAACAACACAAAATAACTCAAAGATTAGGAGAAAAACAAATTTGAAGAGTGTATACCCAAACCGTAGTCCACAATATTACCCTCAATTTCTTGTAAAAACACCCTAATTGGGCTATTCATGGACATATGGTTACCCTTGTATTGCCCAATATTTCACTTTGGTACTCAAAGTGAAATCTATTCTCTATTTAGCCCATTAAATTACAACTTACCTAATTTATAGAGGACATTATGCCACACAACTATTTTTTAATAAATATTTAGAATATACTATGCAACTTTTTTTAAACCAAAAATACTGTTTTTTATATAATAAAATAGAAACATGGAAAACTAATCAAATCATACAGGTTATTGATTACTTAGCTAATTTGACTTCAACAAACACGGTCATCAAATTAATCACAAATCCCTAAAATCGTATCATTTCATATTCCAAACCAAAATCTCCACCATATCGTCTCTCCCTTGATTCACCTATCAAGAAATTCGCAAAATTTAATCACCAATTCGTTACTCTATAGATCTACTGCAAAGAATAATACACACCATATCACACATATCCACCACTTGATTCTCATTTTCAATTGATTAGGGCATTGTCACCTGTTTGTGCATTTTGTATATATTTTATATTTGAAATTTAGTAAGAGTACATAAATCCTGCTTCTTTTAACAAATATTTTGTACAGACAAATCAAGCACATCGACTCAACCTATTTATAGTTTGTATAGACACGACACGTTCACTGATACGTCTGAACGTGCTACGTGAACTTTACAAAAACTAAACTTTCAACACTTCAGCCATCTAGATATTATTCATTCAATCTCATATTAATATAGAAGTCGGCCGTAAAAATCTATTAAATTAAAGAAAGTCAATCACTTTTAGTTAAATAGAAAAATAAAAAATACATCATCACACGTGCATACAGGGATAAATCTTTCTACAAATGAGAAATTGGATAATTCTGCTGGCCCCCACCTACTTGGCGCCCCTGTTTGCGTAGAAAAGCTTGGGGTCCTATGTGGTGCCATCGTCCAATGAGGAGTCGCCAATGAGGCTGGATGGCCGCACCACGTGGGACGGTGTGATTGTCCTATTCAAGTGTCTCTCTCTTTTTTTTTCCAAGGCTTATGTCACCCTGAACAAGTAGGCAGTAGCAGGGTCCTAAAAATTTTAGTCAAACAAAATGAATGAATACGTAATAATTTCTCTCACAGTTGTCGGCAAACTTCACAAATTCAACACCTCTAGATATCATTCCGTCGAAAAAAGCGTGAGAGAAATTCATGCAATAATATAGCAGTAGTATTTTAAAGTATTGCATAGCTATTATGTTACCCCAAGTTTCACATGACCAGAAAGAAATGCGGGAAAGTGGAATGCCTCCGAAGAGGCAGAGGGACACAATCAAACTTGTAAAAAAGTTTGAAGAAATTTTACAATCGAATATTTACATCCAAAAAAGCATACCTCATGTAATTTTACATCCGAAAATTTACATTGAATGACTTTTTCGGATGTAAAATC